ACCCCTGGACCTCAAGTCTTTAACCTGAAAAAGAAAACATGGAAGGAAAACTATCATGCAGATTATATATGCCTTGTGTCTGCAAAGAGCAACTTCCAGCAGCCACGGGCCGCAGGCCTTGGAGGCTTCCTTGACTCCTCTCTTTCCCTCTCTCTAACGCCTCAGCCAATTCCATGCACTCTGCTGGCAAGAGTCCAGAAGGCAGCCACTCCTCCCAGCTTCTTGGCTGGGGGCCATCTGAGGGCAGGAGAGCTGGGATATTTATACACCGGCCTGTGTTAGCAAGGCTGCCCAGGAAGTATCCATTTCCCAAAACACTGGCCTGCTTTCTCCTTGGGAGGAAAAGGCTTTGCAGCCACAGGGAAAGTGCTCAGGCAGCAGATACAGGGGGGTTGGAAGTGGTGAGGGGGAGGGGCTGGGGGAGGGGTCCAACAGGTCTAGAGCAACACTGGGCACAGATCAGGAACTGCAAACACATTTGTTGATAGATGGATGAATGAATGAGTGAATGAATGAATGAGTGAATGAATGAATGAGTGAATGAATGAATGAGTGAATGAATGAATGCCTCCGTGGTAGACAAAAGACGTGCTCTGCCTCTTTGAGCGGTCCCCGTCCATGTGGCCTCGCTCTCTGTTCACACAGCCAGCTCCAATGGGGTGATGCTGCTGACGTTCCCCAGTGCCATCAATGGCATTATCCAGAGCGACCTCAACTACTCGGTGGTCCTGGAGTGTTTGGCTTCTTACATCACCCCCAAACCCGTGCTGCACTGGACCCTCCAGGGGAAGCCCTATGACACCGGGAGTATGCTGATCATCCGGAGCGTGTCCTTGGAGCATCTGGGCACCTACATGTGCATCGCCAAGAACAGCCAGGGGCAGTACGCCTCCACACCCGTGACGCTCTCGCTCCCGCTGCCGCGTGAGTCCCCCAGCCCCACCCCAGACTTCTGCATCCTTGCCGGTCTGTGGTCAGCTCTCCGGGCCACCTACAGAGCTGTCCACTCTGAGACCCCTTGGTAGCCAAGATGTCATCCTGTCCTTCCTTCTGCCCAGCAGACTGGGGATTCTTAGCCCATTTTATAGAAGAAAGAGATGAGCTCTAACAAAAAGCTCAGCTGAGGATCTGGGGCCAGCCATCTGGGCCCTGGCTCAAGTGGTTGGCTAGCTGGGTGAACGTGACCTCCCTGGGTCTCGGCACCCACCTGTGAAAAAAATGCAGGTGATCACAAGCGGTTCTGAGCGTGGGCTTTGGAATTGGAATCCTGGCTCACTCTCTTCTAGCTGTGTGACTCTGGACCAGTGCCTTGATGTCTCTGTGCCTCAGTGTCCTCACCTGCAAATGGAGAAAATATTGTGACCACCCCAAAGCTTCCTTGTGAGCATTCAGTGAGGAAGGAGGTGAACAGCTCAAGATAATAGTGCCCAGCGCTACTGAACTCTAGTGAGCGCCCAGGAAACCTGAGCTAATGTCATCGCTACAAGTAGCAACATCCGTATTATTAATTTGTAACTATTACCACAGGGCCACGGGTACCAATAACAGAAACAGCTCGCTGGGATCAGGAAAGCGGTTGAGTACCTTGTCAAATCTGGGTTCAATTCCTGCCCCCGCCTTCCTGGCCAGGTGACTTAGGAGAAGTGACTTCTCTGAGTCTCTCTTAGCCCCTGTGTATCACGGGGTGACAGTGGCAGCCTCTGCAAGACTGTTTGAAGGAGCAGAAATTGTGTGAAGGAGGCCATCAGAATACCTGTTAGAGACAGGTGCTTCCGAGCCTTGCAGGCTCAGTCCCTGGAGCATGTGACTCTTAATCTTGGAGTCATGAGTTCAAGCCCCACCCTGGGCGTGGTGCCTACTTTAAAAAAAGAAAAAAAAGCAGGTGCTTTAAATAGCAGCTATCCTCATGAATATTATTTTTCACGTGCTTATGCACGGAGAAGAAGCGGCTTGGGGTGAGCTAGAATGACACGGAGGAACTGGTCAGCGGAGAAGCAGGGGAGGAATTTGGGCCTCAGGAACCACATGCACAAAGGTCCAGAGCACGGAAAGGGCGGGGGTGCTGAAAGCCTGGCTTGGCGGGGTCCCAGTGAGCTGCAACCTCTTCACAGCCAGGGTCCAGTAGGAGCTTCAAGATTTGGTTTTGAGGTGATTTGTTGGGAGGGAAAAAAAGTTTCACCTTCTAGCAGCTGGTGACTCTGATACACCCACTGAGAATGATGGTGCTTCCAAGTCCCCCCTTTACTCATTCATCAGCTATTCAGGAGATGTTTACTGGCCCACCTACTACGTGACCAGCCTGTGCTGGGTGGTGCTGGGGATGTTCTGTGACGAAGACAGCCCTGGCCCTGGCCCCAAACAGTAATGTTTGAATGGGGGACAGACCTGTCCACAAATAGTAGTGGCCAGAGTGGGCAAGGCTGGGGTGGGGGAAGCCAAGGGATGTGGGACCCAAGGGGGCACCTGACCCAGCAAGGGCATCAGGGAGGGCTTCCTGGAGGAGGGGACTTCTGAGCTGATACTAGGATACAGAGGAATCATCCAGGCCAAGGTGGGGGCGGGGGGTGGAATAGCGTGAATTCCATTCTGGGGGCACAAAGGCCTGGAAGTAGGAGAGAGAGGTGAGCTTAGAAAACTGAGCAGAGTCCAGTGAGACTGGGTTATAAAGGTGGAGGGTAGGGAGAGCTGAGGCTCGCCAGCTGACTGGCCTCAGAGGCCACGATGAGAGATGCTTGCGCCCTGGTCCTGGGAAGCCACAGCAAGGTTCTGAGCAGGAGGAACAGGGTCACATTCCGTGTGGCGGGAGGTCGGGGCGGGGGGGGGGGCAGGTGGAGGGGAGGGGGAGGAGAGCCTGGAGGAGGCTGGAGTGGAGATCGGAGTGGGGTAGATGGAAGACACGCTCAGGGGGTGAAATGGTGGGAGGCAGGGGTGCAGAGGAAGGATGGCTCCTCCAGCCTCACCCCTTCTTGGTCCCCAGAAGACAACGTGGAACCCACAGACGCTGAGCCCATCGAGCCAGATCCCGTTCTGTCCGTGACCGGAGGAGCCGCCACCACCCTCCTCGTGGCTTCAAACGTGGGGGCCGCGATGCTGATAGGAGGTGTGGGCTTCACCATCGTCCAGAGCCTAAGGTGTGCCCTGCCCTTCCCCCCTGCCCGCCGCCCAATGTTCTTTGGCCCCCATGAGACACAGAGCTCACTCTGCAGTGGGACAGAAGCCCCACCAATAGCCTCATCCCAGGAAGCTGGAGACTCAGAGGACACTGACCCCCACTGCACCTGCCCCAGGTGACACCCAGGGCACAAAGAGACGGACAAAGATTCGAATCCCAGCCCGCTGCTTACCCGCAGTTAAGCCATGGGCAAGCCACTCCCCCTGTCTGCGCCTTGGTTTGCCCATCTGCAAAATGGGGGAGGGGGTGATAACAGTAGCCCCCGCCTCATGGGTCTGTTGTGAGGACTGAACAAGCTAGTGTTTGGGCCTGGGCTCTGTGGTAAGCGCCACGTCTGTTCCCTCTGTGCGCACCGATTGCTCACTCTTCCAGGCACTGGGGCAACCGTGGGAGTCGTGGCAGGAAGCCCCTGCCCCATGAGCTTGCCCCGTAGTCAGGGACACCAGCAGTTCACGTGAGGACAGGTACACTATAGACAGCGGGTTGGATACTGAGCAACTGAGCACTGAGCAGGGGAGTAAGGCCCGGAAGTAAGGCCAGGGTGGGGGCGGGGCACAATTTAACTAAGTCAGTGAAGTGACATGTGAGCAAAGGAGGGAGGGGTCAGTGGATGTCTGGCCAAATCACACACCCAGCAGGGAAAACAGCCGGTGCAAAGGCCCTGAGGCACAACTTGCCTGGCACGTTCCCGCAACAGCAAAGAGGCCTACGTGGCTGGAGTGGTGTGAGGAAAGAGACACAGGGTGTGAGATCAGAGAGGGAAAGGAGGGTGGGGGTGGACAGACAGTCTAAGGTCTTGTGGGCCATGTAAGGACCTGGCTTTTGCTCTGAGTGACATGAGAGCAATGGACAGTTCCGAGCGGAAGGACAGGATCTGACCTACATCTGACTTGCATGTTAACCCTCTATGTTTTAGCTGTGATTCTAATGTTACGATGTCTTACGATCGTGTGCTTGCTGAACATTATTCTATTTAATTTCCACAAGAGCTCGGCAGATGGGGTTGGGGGTGACGGATAGGAAAAAGGAGCTTGTTTTTGTCCAAGAGGAAACCCAGGCCCAGAGAGGAGTGACTGGGCCCAGGCCCCGCAGCTGGAGAGGAGGGATTCGAACCCGGAACCCTGCCTCACTCCCAGTCCTCGCCCCTCTCCTACGCTGCCTCTTTTCCCCTCCGTAACAATACCAGCCTCCGTAGCCTGTGGACTGCAAGGTGACGGGGTTTGCAGAGGCCTTGTGGATCAGCTGGGAGAGCCTGGGGCCAGGTCTCTAGTCCGTGGGTCCCGTGCAGGGGGTTAGGGGGTGGGCAGGCTGCTGTCTGAACCCCCTGCATCGTGCTCATCCCTGGGGCAGCTACAACTTCCCGGGCCCTGGGTAAGCACCAGGAGCCTCCAGGTCCCCTCTTCTCTGGGGGATGGGTACATTCTTGGCCTTATCTTCCAAACGAGTAAACCAAAGCTCAGAGAAACTCTTCAACCTGCCCAAGGACGCGCACCTGACAGACAGCTGACCCTGCACCAGACCCAGATCCAAGTCCAAAACCATGTTCTCAGAGGGGAAGATTGAGAAATCCAGTCCCTGCCTCTGTGGGTGGACAGGAGGGGTCACTTCCTGTCTGCCGCCCCTCCCTTCCACCCCGCCTCCCCCACCATTTTGGCCAAGACCGGTGAAAACAGACCAATGCTGACGTCAGCCAGAGGAATCAGCTTCTTCCAAACAGCTCTGGCCTTAGAGATGAGGTCTGAGGACAAGCCTGCTGTCCTCTCGGTGGGGAGGGGCAGCCCTCGGGAAAGAGGGGTGTGGACGGAGGGGAAGCCCCACACTCGTCTACCGCCCCCGCCACGGGCACAAGCGGTCCCTGTGTTTGCAGCTGAGGCCACAGGCCCCGAAGCCAGGCTACTTGGGTGCCTCCCAGCTCTGCCCTTCGCTAGCTTGTGGAACTTCGAGTGAGTTCTCTCACCCACTCCTGCCCCATCCGGAAAACAAGGACAGTGGTAATAACTACCTCAGGGGGGAAGTGTGTGGACTACACGAGGCAGTAGAGGCAGAGCACTGAAAATCGTGCCTGGCGCACGGGCAGCCTTCAATAAACGTCAGCCATATTGATGGTGGTGGTGGTGATGATGATGATGATGATGATGATGATGATGATGATGAATTCTCGCTCTCCATTGTAGGAATAACCGACAAAGACTCCGGATGTGCTGCTGAAGTGGGCACCTGTCTGTCAGCCTCAGAGGGGATGTCAGGAAGGGCAGCAAGAGCATCCTGGCGCTGCGGAAAAGATGAAGTTACTGGAGGCTCCAGACTAGACCTCCTCCCTCCTGATCATTTGCCTGTGGGATGTTCTCATCTTGGTGAGAGTCCCAGGAACTGCTTTCCTCTCCTTTCCAACCACCAGCATCCCATCTGCCCAGCTCACCAAATCCCTGGAAGCTACCTACACAAGTAGCCTGTACTTCCTAAAATTCGTGGGCTGTAAGCAAAAGATGCTTACGTAAGTGGCTCAATATAAAAAGGACAAGGGGCGCCTGGGTGGCTCGGTCCATTGAGCATCTGGCTTCGGCACAGGTCGTAATCTCATAGTTCATGAGTTCAAGCCCCGCGTTGGGATCTGTGCTGACAGCTCAGAGCCTGGAGCCTGTTTCGAATTCTGTGTTTCCCTCTCTCTCTCTGCCCCTCCCCACTCATGATCTCTCTCTCTCTCTCTCTCTCTCTCAAAGATAAATAAACATTTAAAAAAGGACAAATTTAATATAAGTATCCAAGAAGACCCCCCCAAAGAAATCCAAGGGTGTAGCAGTTAGCACTTGCTGTGTAACAAACTACTCGCCCTGCTGAAACTTAATGGCTTGAAACAACAGCCATGGATTTAGCTTACAATGCTGAGGGTTGTCAGTTTGGGCTGGGCTAAGCTGGGCAGGTCTCCTGGTCTCTGCTGGGCCCACTTCCACTTCTGAGGTGAGGTGGCCGTCACCCAGGGGCTGTCTGGACCAGGACAGTTGTCCAGGACAACTAACCTGTCCTCCACATCGTATATCATCCTGTAGCAGGCAGACCCAAGCTTGTTCACATGACAGAGGCAGGGTTCCAGGGGTGACAGCAGCGGGCAGTGCCTCTTAGGGTCAAGATTAAGAATGGCACATCCTTGGAGCGCCTGGGTGGCTCAGTCAGTTAGGCACCTGACTTGGGCTCAGGTCACAATCTCATGGTTTAGGGGTTCAAGCCCCGTGTTGGGCTCTGTGCTGACAGCTCGGAGCCTATAGCCTGCTTCAGATTTTCTGTCTCCCTCTCCCTCTGCCCCCCTCCACCAGCATGTGCTCTGTCTCTTGAAAATGAATAAATATTTTTAAAACTTTTTAACAAAAAAATACGGGTGCCTAGGTGGCTCAGTTGGTTAAGCGGCCAACTTCATCTCAGATCATGATCTTGTAGTTCATGAGTTCGAGCCCTGTGTCAGGCTCTGTGCTGACAGCTCGGAGCCTAGAACCTGCTTCAGATTCTCTACCCCGCCCACCCCCAAATATAAATAAACATTAAAAAAAAGAGAGAGGGGTGCCTGCGTGGCTTAAGTCTTCAGAGGGTTTCTGTGTCTCCCTCTCTCTTTGCTCTTCCCCAGCTTGTGCTCTGTCTCTGTCTCTCTTTCAAAAAATAAATAAGCATTTAATTAATTAATTAATTAAAAAGAAAGAGAAAGCAGGAATGTTGCTGGAACCTTCTCGGCCCCCAGCCTTCACCCCCTGCAGTCCTCTTCTCCAGGTACATTAGCCTCAGTTCTCTCTCTGCGGATGGGCACTCAATGCTTCTCTACCCACTGAGGGAAAGACACCATCCCGTGGCCTCCAATCCACAGAATCCCTTGGCTTTGGTCCTGAAGGCCCTGGAGAAGGGCCTCCGATGGACTCACTCAGGCCAGGTGTCAACCTCGATCCCCTTCCTGTGTGGGGGTGGGGCCCGGATGCTTTATACACGCAGAGTTCAAGGGGCTGCTCCCTGTCTGTGGGGGCTCGCTGCTCCAAGAACGGGGGCAGGTTTTGTCTTGTAAGCTAGGTAGACGCCCCAAAATGTCTTCTACACACGCAAGCTTATTTTTGCTCCTTTTAGCGGGGGGGGGGGGGGAGGTGGTCACACACACACACACACACACCCAGGAATCCATGGCACAATTATAAATAAGACCAATCACTTGATTTTGTGCTGCTGGAGAATTCTGACGTGTGGATTCATCTAACATCCGAGGGGCATTAGCACTTCTGTGGCCACACAGAGCCACCTCCCACATCGTTATGTCCAGCAGTGAAAGGAACAGACGTGAGTTCAAGTTCTGTCTGTGGAGGGTTATCTGTGTACCAGTCACTGCGCTCCGTGCCGCAGGTGATTCTTGCACCACGTCATTGTCACCGTATCCACCGAGGAGAGGAGAATCCACCTCCATTTTACCGACAAAGCAGGGGAGGCTCAGAGAGAGGGTACGGGACGTGCCCAGGGCCACACGGGTAGCACGAGGTACAGTGTTCTCCAAGCCACGCTGCCTTTCTCTGAAACCCCTGTTTCCTATCTCCCTCCTTTCCTGCTGCCCCCTCCTTGGGGCCAGAGCCCCCTTCCCCTTCTTTCATGAGCCCCCACCTCCTGGGTCAGGCAGCTGTCACTGTGCTCTTGTACAAAGGATAGAGGCGATGCTCAGAGAGGGCAAGCGACTTGCCCAAGGTTGCACAGCCATGCGTGATGCCCACTCAAGTCTACTCGATTCCAAAACCCATGCCTTAGACCGGCGCTGTCCATTAGAACTCTCTACGGTGATGGAATGTTCTATGGCTGCACCATCCGACACACGGGGCTACTGAGCCCTTGCAGTGTGGATGGTGTAACTGAGGGGCTCCATTTTTATTTGTTTTTAATTAAATTTAATTTTTTAAAAAATATTTGTTTTTGGAGCGGCGGGGGAAGGAGCAGAGAACACAGGGACAGAGGATCCAAAGCAGGCTCTGTGCTGACAGCAGCGAGCCTCCATGTGGGACTCGAACTCACTAACTGAGAGATCATGACCTGAGCTGAAGCCAGACACACAACTGACTGAGCCACCCAGGCACCCCTCGTTAAATTTAACTTTATATTATATTGCCACCTGTGTTTAGAAGCTACTGTATTGAACAGTGCAACTCTAACCCCTATTTGTTAAAAATAAATAAACCCCCCAGCACCCCTATGTGTAGATCCCTGACTGTCTGGGGTCCTCGCCCTGGCCTGTCTAAGGGCTCAGGTTTGCTTGGAAAGCCCTGGTATCTAGACAGTTACTTTCCTGCCCGAGGCACCCGCTATACCCCTTCTCTCCCTAACCCCCCCACCCTGTTCCCTCCTGTCAAAGGAGAAATGAGTTATTTTTCCGGCTTCGCTGGTGACAGGGAGGAAGTGGATTCCCACAGCTCCGAATCCGGCTGGGTCTCAGCGGTGACACCACCACCCTCGCCCGCCCGGGTGTAGCTGTCCTCCGGCCAAGTTTCCAGCAAGCCTGCCCCCCCGCCCTTTGGAATAGCTGACAATTAGTATAATGTCCCTCCCCACCCGGAAAAATAAACTGTGCAAATTCCCCCAAAGAGACCTCCCGGCCACCCCGTTATAAATTCAGTCCCCTGGTTCAATGTGGTCACAGAACTGCTCTGCTCTATAACATCTAACTGCATCATGTCATGAAATCTTTATTGGTGTGAATCTTTAATATTCATTTCACCCACGGTAGCAAGGTCTGCATCCCTTACACATGCTCGCCGTGGAAACTGGAAAGCAGTACAGATCAGAGATTTCCAATTCACTGATAACGCTGCAAATGTGTGCTTGAAGACTCTGTGAAGCCATCCAACTAGCCCTGTCTTAAAAATCTCTGGGGGCGCCTGGGTGGCTTAGTCGGTTAAGCGTCTGACTTTCGCTTAGGTCATGATCTCACGGTTCATGGGTTCGAGCCCCACATCGGGCTCTGTGCTGACTGCCAGCTCAGAGCCTGGAGCCTATTTCAGAGTCTGTGTCTCCCTCTCTCTCTGACCCTCCCCTGCTCATGCTGTCTCTCTCTCTCCTAGAAATAAAAAAAAATATTTAAAAAAATCTCCGGATCCTTTGTACACGAAGGAAGAGACACACTTTTGTGTTACTTACGCCACTGTTGTTTTAGTTTGGTGTTCCCTGGCAGCCGACTAATACCAATGTATACATCTCACCTGAAGCTTTAAACCATAAAGTCAAAGATTTAGGTGATACTTGGCAAAACATTTCTTGCATGATGAGGAGGGAGGCTGTGACCACACGGAGAGGTGGATAAATTGGGCCACAGTGAAAGTACGAGCGAAGAACAAGCAAAATCCTATCCCTACATCCCCGCCACCCCCCCCAGGTGGGGGGGTGCAGGTAGAAAGTACAAGATGCTAGATAATAAAGCTGAGAATCCTGGGGCACCTGGGTGGCTCAGTCAGTTGAGCATCCAACCTCGGCTCAGGGCATGATCTCACAGTTCGTGGGTTCGAGCCCTGCGTCAGGCTCTGTGCTGACAGCTCAGAGCCTGGAGCCTGCTTTGGATTCCTTGTCTCCCTCACTCTGCCCCTCCCCTGCTTGCACTCTGTCTCTTCCTCTCTCTCAAAAATAAACATTAAAAAAATTTTTTAAAAAGAAAGAAAAGAAAAGAAAAGAAAACTCAGTGGCACCTGGGTGGCTCAGTCAATTAAGTATCCGACTTCAGCTCAGGTTCATGAGTTCCATCCCTGCATCAGACTCTGTGCTAACAGCTCAGAGTCTGGAGTCTGCTTCAGATTCTCTCTCTCTCTCTCTCTCTCTCTCTCCCCACCCCACTTTCTCTCTCCCCTCCCCCACTTGCGCACACGCTCTCTCTCTCTCTCTCAAAAATGAATGTTAAAAATTTTTTTTAAAAAGAAAGAAATCTGAAAATCTTGAACCCTTTCTGCTTATTCTGTGACTGTGTAGACATCACACATTTTGTATCCAGGTAGAAGACAAAGACAAAACAAAAAAAAACCAAAGAAAACCCAGAATTTTCCTCCTCCATCCAGGCATTCCACCCACCCAGGCAGCTGTCTGGCTTGTGGTCCTTGAGGACCACAGGCAGAAAATCAAAAGAAGATGAAGCGGGAGAGGGGGGGGGATAGGATTTCCAGCTAACCTCCGGCCGCCATCCATCTCCACAACTCCTATTTCTCACATCCATTTAGCCAGGAGGCATTTCTCCTCAAATACCACGTTGCCAGATTGGCAGTGGTTACTGCAAGTGGTGAGAGTTCTGGGGACCCACCCACGCTCTCTGGGATGAAGGATCTGGGAGCCTGGAAGGGGGTGGCCACTGCAGGTCCATATTTGGCTCCCATGCTTATCAGCAATGAGTCACACCCTCCTCCCTGACAGCCACTGAAAGCACTTCCAGTTCCAGACCTGCCCTGAACACACCCTGATCCACCGAGACAGAGGCACAGCCAAGATTCCTAGGCGCCTTTAACACTACCCGGTTCCTTCCTTTGTTCACCCAACAAAT